ATGAGATGTATTCACCCTATTTCGTGTAAGGTGATGAAGGTCATCACCTTACACGAAATAGGGTGAATACATCTCATTACAATGATTTACTGGTAGTCTCGAAACCCTACTCCTTACGGAGTATTTAAATTTTAGCCAAAAAGCATTTGAAAGCCTAATTGTTCATAAATGTGAACAGTTAGGCTTATAATTTTGGGACTCAGAAGAATAATCGGTGCTTTACTAGATCCCTAAAAAAGAAATTGCCTATTTTGGAGGCGGGGATACAGCACACAAGAATCTCTCAAAGAACTTTGGGCAACATAGTTGTTGCAGCGTAACTATAAGGAAGGGTTTCAAAACATGACTGAAGCCAATAAAAGCACTCATAAAAATGGCGCGATCCAGATTTGACTCTTATTACCACAAAATAGATTCTTGTTTCCGTTGATTTCAGACGTAGTGAGACATTTCAGCCATGCACCAAATATCCACACCTATTCATCACCAAAATTAAGAGGAGACAGCAGGATTGTGGTGCTGTTTGCCTGTTAGTATCAACCATAATAAGCAAGGAGGAAGTTTTGTGTATTCTAACGAGTCAACTACGCGATTTTATCTATAAATTTTATTGTCATGTGTTACACTATGGGTCGATTACCACCCGGCACTAGGATGTGTAAGCTTAGATTTCGCTGCCAACCTACATGCGAACATGTGACTCACGGCGCCCAAGGTTGAATCCGAGGTAGAAAAAAGTGTCATTCAGAGGACATTAAGAATTAAAAAAGAAGAGTGAGGAAAGCAGATGAAAACTGAGCCCATTATTTCCTGCTGATATCTCAATAGTTACTTATGCCGATTATCAGCAAGAATGAAAGGGCATTTGATTGACTACTTGGAATAAGAGTTTATTTCTGCTATAAAATGACCCAATTTACACTTATTTTCATTATATCACTTCTATGGAAGATAAATCGAATGCAAGATTTTGAAAATGAAGTGGCCTGTTTCCAATAGACATAGCAAGAGCCTGGAATTCGTTTTGACAGTAGTTCAAGGGCATCGTAAACTGTAGTAAATCGCTTGACACCTAGGAAGTAAACATATGGGAGCGATAATAAGCCCCCAGCATAGAAATTCCCTTCAGATATAGGATCTTGGTGGACAAGTCCACCTTAGGGCCCTATTTTTCAGTTTCCAGTTGAAATGTTATGTATGTCAGAACTGAAATAAAAAAGGAAGAATACCAATTTGTGTTCCCCATTCAAAATATAATAAGGTGTAATTATAATTGATCAAGATAGCCACCACTTTTAATTCATTGACAAAATAGCATAAAACGATTCGGTTACCCTACAGGGCAAACAATTTACCCCGCATATAGAGGAAAATTTAGATGGATGAATTAAGACAAAAGTTAAAGATAAGTATCATTAAAGTGTCAAGCACATAGGGTTACGCAGGCCTAAACGTAATATTTCCGACAATTAGAGCCTTTGAGCAGCTTTGGTTTGAACAAGCATGTATAGACATCGATAAATCTACAACATAAGAGGCAGCGGCAGGGCGATATAAAATTAGACATTTGTATATATTAAGAAACAAAAGAACGATAATTATTTAACGCAAGTATTTTAAAGTACATCATAAACATTAGCGCCAGGGCAGATAAGAAAGTGCAGTATCACAAAAGTACAATTTCTATAAAAAGAGATTATTCGGAACATGTTTGAAGGAATTCACTGGGACCAGTAAGCATTTATTGAAAGGTGACGACATTAACCATAGAGATCGGGTCTACCAGTCAAAAAGAACTTCTTTGGATGTAAAACAATAAGACCAACGCTTGCACGACTAAAGCCCGATCATTCCGCAGGATAAAAAAGCTCAACAAGCCTAGCTTCCATCTTATGGATAACGTCAAATTAGTAAAGTGACCTTCAACATTACTAAACTATGCCTACAACTAAGCGAAAAAAGAGACGAGGCTTTCTCAACAAGTCCATCATGACATAAAAATGGAATATCTAATCAAGAAACTAAGGACAATAAAGTCAAATAATAATTATATCTCTCCAGGCTGACGGGAAAGAAGGGAATTAATAATAGCTAAGACCTGAAAACAAAGACTATTGCAGTTCTGTATCTCCGACATAAAACATTGTTGCTGCTAAATAATAATTTTTGATTCAGATGATAAAATTCATAAATGGCCAAAACTACTAGCAAAAATAGCATCATCGAATGCAAGTGCCCATACCCATTTTGGAGCAATGGATATCAGATTTATAGGCCCACGAGGAGACAAAGTAGCTAAGGATGAGAAATAGGTAACCGGTTGTGAAGATCAATATATTTACCAATGCGTTGAGTGATCGAGAGTAGGTGATCGAAAATAGTGTGAGCAACAGACAATAAGATTGTAGTGAACATTTTAAAGCTGAGATTTATAACCAATTATTGAGCAGTCCAAAGCCGGACCCGCCTGCGACTATCAACAATAGTTGTGGAAAAGTGTTGCTCACTAATTTGCAACCCAACAGAGCACATGCTAAGTGTCTATGAAAATACAAGAAGCGATGAATAATGGAAACTAGAGCTGAATACAACAGATTGGTGATATTGGCTAGTCAGAATAAACTTACAAATCACTACAATTGATAGCAAATCTAGCAAAATAAATAATGAACTGTAGAATAAGGTCTTAAAGAAGGAGCCGTGATTGAGGAAACTTCACGCTTGATTATACAGCCCATGGTAGAAAAGATACAAAAGAACTAATATCCTTGTAAAGAAATATCAGAAGTTAGCTTAATATGCGCCTACAAAATGTATTCTGATTCAGTACTCATGATGTAAGTAGATATATAAATAAGTCAAAGCAAATCTGCATATGAAAATGAATGCTCATCAGTGTCAAATTATCGGCTTAATACCACGAATGGGTAGTCAAATATGATACAAACAGCATTCAAGCAGGGGAATGAGATACCCCCTTATGTTTCATATCCTTAAGGCTGACGAACTCAAGGACTAAAGAATGTAATCATAAAGCAAATATAGTTAAGCATGTGCAAATATAGATATTCACATAATTGCGTACATAATTAAGTGCACGGTTATACTTAGGAATAGGTATATACATTATATACATTATATACATATATATATATATATGGTGGTTCACGATATGCACCAACAATCCAGTAGATGAGTGCAAATTTAAGAAACACACGTACGTAGCGAGGTGTCGGGCAAGCCGAAGTAAAGCTATGCAATAATCAATAAAGCAATCAAGGTGTAGACATAAAACGTAATCATAGAAGTGCACACACCGAGCTACATAGACATACGACGATACTTGCAACCAGAGTAAGAACGAAATCGATACGAACAAACGAATTTGACCAACTGAAGAGGCTCGGCATAAAATCAAGCTAAGAATGGGCAGACAAATGCTGGCTTTAATAAGCCTCTTCAGGAGGACCAGTTAAATAAATCTAAAATTGTTAACACGACACTAAAAAAACAAGATTAAGTAATTTATAATATTTTTTTACAAAAAAATCTGTCTTATGAAGAAAGTATTAAGGTAAGCTCAAAATAATAATGTTTAGCAAGAGCCTGGGAATCATTAAAGTACATTATATTTGAAATAGAATTCATCGATGAAAGAGGTGTTGATTTAAGGTTGTTAGTAGGTAGCGACGGAAATGGGAAAATAAAAGCTAAGTTCGTTTTTGGCAAACGTGGAGCAGAGAGCAAGATGGAGGAAATGAACCCGGCTCAAAAGGAAAAGGGTTTAGGCTACCGGGCAAAATGGGAATAAAACAGGGAAAAGCATACACCAATAAACGTGATGGCAAAATAGCGAGGCAGGAAAAATTTTTAAAAATCTGCAACAGGAGATTTCTTTTGAGTAATACAAACCCTTATCATATGGTGAATTTCTATAGAATAAAAATCTCAAGATAGAAAGTATACACAAAGTATTTACCAGCTATGAAAGTGAGAACGGAATTTGCAGATTATGCAAAAGAAGGAGAATACAATAAAAATTGATAAAGTAATTACGCCCCAGTTCATGAGGCGCTGAGTACTTAGTTTGGTTGATGGCTATGAAGATAGAAATGTTAAAGGACTGTGATCAAAGGCGGGCTCTCATATAGTTACTAATCGATAATGGATGGGAAATGGATAAAGGAAGCAGATAAATTCGAAGCCAAAATAAGTATATTAGCTGCTACAAAGTGAAGGAGCATCATAGAGCCTTAGTTCGCGGTTCATGCCTAAGAAAATAGGGTTTGTGAGAAAAAAAAACAGAAAATGATTGACTTCACAAAAGAGGGGGAAAACAGTCATCGGGTGTGAGGTTTTGGTGGGGAGTCATGTAAAAATAGATCTTAGGCAATGCATATTAGTCATCCGAAATTATAGGGAAGAGCAGGTTGCAGAAAGCAGAATGGCAAATGACTACTGTACTAGACGAATGAGCTATATGACTGATAAGGAGGAGGAATGAGCCCCAAAATAGAAGGGAGGTAAATATTGGGGGAAAAGATATGGCATGAAGACGGTCGTGGCTGGAGCTGAACTTGTACTAATAACGGAATGGTTGAGCTGGGGAGCTGAAGACCTGATGATCAATAGGCACGCCCGATGCCAGTGGATGGAGGCTGGGGAGCAGCTCGCTTTGAGGCTTATAATAAATTTCGATAGAGGGCATGCGATAGAGAAATAAAGTAGATAAATGCGTATTAGGCACTAGCAACAAAAGCGGCATCGAAAATATCACAAAAATTTCATTGAGAATTAAAGTAGATTGACGTTTCAGGTACTGATAATTTATCGCCGTGTAATGAAATGAGACGAAGACTTGCTTATTTCATATAATTTTTGTCCCATGCTGCCAAAAGTAATATTTCCATCTGTGATATACAAGTTTGACATTTCCTAGGTCTTATCAACACAGCCCGCGGAAGCAGAACCAAAGATACACAAGTTGAGGCATAGAAGTTAATACCTGGACCAAAAGCAAAATTTGTTCATGAGGAAAAAGATGGAATGCAGGACATGACCAGGGTTTTTCAAATTAGCGATGAGGAAAATGTGGCTGACATTTAAATCATTGTGTCATATCATAGTCCGGTCAAATTTAAAGACAAATCAAAATCCTTTTTCAAATAATCTTTGGCATATCAAATACCAATACCAAAAGCATCAATGAACCATTGGCCAGTTAATTCCATAGGTATTAGCACCATAAGTAATCTAATATCTTCCATGACTTCGTCTTTTTTTGACTAAAGACACTAAAAAGCAAATATATTTATAGAAGTTGTTTGACCTTGTTTTCGCATCAGAGCCATATTGGTAGGAAGATCTAGAGGAATACATCTAGTCCGGAGTCCATAGTATGCATGATAATTTCCAAAGTCAGAGCGCGGACGCGGTACAATCCCAGAAGTTTCACCGGAATCGTCAGTGAGCATTGCCAGTCTTAGCACCACATTACAACTCGTCAAAGATACAAGTGAAGCCAAGCCTTTGACCAATTGTCTGCATAACAATCAAGGTATCTTTTCGTATATAAGCAGAGTTTCGAGACTACCAGTAAATCAGTTATATAAGATGAATTCACCCTATTTCGTTTAAGGTGATGAAGGACTGGTAGTAGAATTTTCCCACAATGATATGAATAGGGCTGACGCTTCCATAGAATTTCACATAGCCTTGTCTTCCTAAAGGTTGTTCTCATCGAAGATGGACTGAGGTTTCGACCTCGCCTAGGTCTTATCAACACCCCCAGCAGTAGTCTAATCTTGACATGCTACACTGTCAATGGAAACGTCAGCTCTACTCATACCGTTGTGGGAAAATTCCACCACCGGTTCTTCATCACCTTAAATGAAATAGAATGAATACCTTTCATATAATCATGGTATCTATACTTCCGCCCTTGGCTAATCACCAATCCTATATCCTCGTATCACCCCTTCATTATCACAATTTTTACTTGCTTATACGTGGTATAGTGTGTCCTTTTAAGCGGATTTCATGAGAACTCTCGACACCCCACGCTGGCTTTCTCACCCCATCACCCCCCCTTCACTCTTATGCTGGAAATGCTGATTAGAGTCTATCATATTGTCCCACATGGGTCTTATCAGTCTTCCTCTTGCCCCGTCTGCTAACTCCTTGGTTCGAATATTTTACTAGACCTCTGCCACCCTATCTGTGCGACTCGAGGCGTTATTTCCCACACTCTGCCTCTGGAAAATTAACTTGAGGCTAAAAAGCCCGAATAAGTCTCATTATCAAGCCTTTGCTTCATGGGCGATGTATATTATTAAACACATCTACTGTTAGCCAACTAGCTCTAGTCTCCAACGCGTCTATCGTGCTTCTATCCATAGTGCCAAGTCTATGATTTCCTATGCCCTAGTATCTTGAATGTCAACCTTCAAATGTTGTGGTTCTACTTGTTTTGATTAGATTCAATACAGAACCACAACATTTGTTGGTTGACACATAAGAGACTAGGGCATTGGAAGTCATCGATTTAACACTATGGATAGAAGCGTATGGGACTTTACCACGTCCACGGTCTGACTCTGGAAATTATCATGCATACTATGGACTCCGGACTAGGTGTTCCTCTAGGTCTTCCTAACACTATGACCAAGTTGCGAAAACAAGATCAAACAACTTCTATACAACGAAAAGAGACTGCAAACATACAAAAGACCATATCATCTTGGTCTTCATACCTTCGAAAAATTTTAATAGCCTAGGTTTCCACACTTACCGGCTAGTAGATGGTTAAGAGAAAAAGGCCGCCCACATTCTTTTATGTTATGTACCTAAGGAATGAGCTAACAGATGCAACAGACAAAATGAGGTAAACGCAAATGCAAAGTATATATAATGTAGATATAAGATAATTATTTATTTTTTTAACTTCCCTGGGACTCACAGTTTATTTGGAAGGTACTAGAGAAGTAAGGAAAAACAAAGGATAACTTAGGATGGTAGCAATAAGAGGATAATAAGAAAAATGAGGAAATTTGTGAGAAAAAAACTAGAATCCTTGTACAGTGATTGAGAATCCCTGATTCACAGAAATGAGCTCACAGGGATTCTAATGTTAGATCCAATAGATACCTAGATAAGCTTTTACTTAACTCTTTTTGGCTATCAAATAGCCTTGTGTATCTTCTCACGAACAGTTTATTGGCCTTCCTTCCATGGAAAGACTAGCAATTTATATGAATAAACTGACGATCAACTCATTCTAGCAAATTTAGGCAGGGTGATAAAGTTAATTGATTGGAGTGGAATCACTACTAGGCTAGATAAGGTCCTTTAATCAAGCAATATAATCAAGCTAGCTAGGTAAATATAAATTGGTACAGACATATATATGTGTAAATTAATAGATAACACCGGACTAGCTTAACATGAACACACTAGTTACCGTAAGCACGAAGTGGTAAATGGAATATCATTGCGCTTAATCAAGATGTGCTCATTATTAAAAATGGCCGTTTACAACAAGACCAAAGTAGCAAAGAGAAAGAACTAAGTTGATTTCGAATACAAAGCAAGAGTAAAGATATATGCAAATTAAATCTAGCTCTTAATGTCATCTAGTTAGTTAATAAAAATGGATAAGATTCCCACACCTTGTTGCAAACTGCGGTAAGTTTTCTGTCCAGTGTATGCAACTGGTGGCATCGGGAAGAGCGTATCGGATAAAAATTGGAATCGTCTTTCAAATTCAGTTTCTTCTCTAATACAGGTAGCCAATGAGGCTGATTGGACATGGGGCGCCTTCGTAGTTTGTGAAAGTGTTGGAGGCGGCGGAGGCGGTGGTGGTGGAATTGGATGCGCGCGCACAGGTGGGAAGTCGCTTGATAGAGGGGGTGGAACCATGGGAGGAGGCAGATAGGATGTTGGAGGGAGTGGAGGCGGCAGTGGGGGCAGCGGAGTAAATGAGGCTCCAAAAGGTGTAGACATGAAGGGAGAAGCGGAACCAGGAAGTTTTCCTGGAAGAGGACTTGAATCGGACTGATTGGCACACTATAAAAAAGGAAGAACGATACATAAAAGAAAACAAAATTAGGCTTTTGAATTTGTAACGAAAACAGCTATGATTGTGAGAATTCAATGAAAGGAATAGCTTAGCTAATTACCTTACTTTGTTTTTAGCCTATCTATACTTGGAAATTAACTCTCATGGTAAATCCATACCATTTTATTTGCTACCATTTCTCATACTTGTGCCCAAAAACTGTCAACAATGCAGTAAA